GCGCTGGCGGCGACGCCGTGTCTGGGGCGGGCTCGGGCGGCCGCATCTGCGCAGGTGTCGTCAGTCTCTCGTGTAACTTCACATGTATAAAAAAAAAGTCCTTGAGGGTGCTAAGTGGCAGTTGGAGATGGTTCCAGTGGTGCCGCTGTGGTGCCGAAAGGGTGCTACGTGTTCATACGCGCTTGACAGCTGACCCTGCTCTTATGCTGCTGTTGCCGTTCACCTCCTCCCCATGCCGCTCTCCTCTATGCATGCTACGCACTACGACCTGCTGGCTTCTCTTCTCATGCTCGCATGGTATCCTCGATCCTGTTACTGCTGTCCGTGCACTGCAGGTGAGGCGTACAGCTTGCAATCCATCATATAGCTTGCTGGCTTGCTGGCTCTGCTATGCATGCAGCCTGCTTTCCAGGCTGCCACTGTGAGTGCTGTGAGTGCGCCTCATTTACGCCACCTGAATGCCCGTGCTGACACCGTACGCACACCTGCTGCTCGGCATCCCCGCCCGGCCCCGTCTTGTTTCTTTCCACCTGCTGGCTTTCCTCGCCACTAACATACCCCTTTGATTTGCATCTCCCCTTCACGGTTTTTGCCTGGGCCTCTGCAAATGATCCACAGCAGCAGGTGAGATGCTGCCAGGGGTTTGCGATGGCAAGCCTGCGGACCCTGTGTCCCCAGCCATTGCTTGTGGAGCAGCTGTGAATTCATGCAGCAGCAGTCCCAGTTGTCAATAGCACCTGCGTGCACCACCATGTGCAACATGCCAGCTACGCGTTCGCCCCTCCAGTTGCAGTGCATTGCATGCATCCAGTCAGCTAGCAAATTGGCTTGCTATCTGCTGATCCTCTTTTGCAACAAGCAGGGGCACGACTCTTTTCCGGGGCCTGCTGACAGCACAGCATATGCGTCATGCTTGGGTGGTTCCAGAGCAGCAGGCAGCTCTGCAGCCCCGCAGTTGTGCTGTATGCCTCGCGTCGTGCCCACAAGCCTGCTTGACCTTCCGTTCGCGCCTTTCTCTCTACCTTTCATGGCTCCCGCCTGGGCTTCCTCCATCGTTCCACATCAGCAGCACCAGCACCAGCAGCAGGTGGGTCACGCGTGCAATAGTGCTTGTGGCGACTCTGCCAGCCCGCATCACCGGGTAGTTGCTTGTGGTGCAGCCATGAACTAATTCCTGGTTGCCGTCCATGCGGCTGGTTTGCACACATAGCGTATGCGGGGCACTGACACTAGCACATAACACGCTGAGCTTCAAACTCTGCTGTGGAGTTATGCATGACCCATCTGCACAACCCCACATGCTTCGAACAAGCATTAGAGCAGGACAGTTCTGCAGCACCATGGGGCAATGCAAGCAGGAATGCATCGCCCCATGCCTTGCAACAAATGCCACTGTATGGGGCTTGCACTCAGCAAATTGCCGCCGATGTGTGGGTGGGGGAGCTCTGCCTGTCGCCGCATTGGCTTCCAGACGATGCCAGGGGAGGGGAGTAGCCACCAGTGCAGCTCTGCTGCGGTGAACATGTGCCGCAGTGGTTTTGGAACCACGTTGGATGCTTCGCAGCTGCACCCAACCTCCCTCATCCTCTTCCCCGGAAAGCCCATGACAACCCTACTCACGTGGTGCTGCTCTCCTCCCCCCTCCCACCTCCCCTGCCCTATGCACATGCTGCGTCTCATTGTCTGCTGGCTTTTTCACTGTGCTCATGTGATATCTTTTGCTGTCCACCACCCCGTGCTTTGCTGCTGTCCAGGCGCAGAAGGGGGAGCATCAGGTGGGTTTTTTTGTGCATCTTACAATCCATATCACTTACGGGCTGTGGCATGGGCTTGGCCACAGCAAACGCTGCTGGTGACAGGGGCCGATCGTCAGTGCCAACTTGGTTGAAGACTCAGTTGCACCTTGCCAGCACAAACCATGCCGTGCGCCCCATACATGTGGGCATAGTTTGCAGCAAACACACGTGTTTTGTGCCGAGTTTGCCTCATTGTCATCACCTGATCGTCCGAGCTGACGCCGCCCGTTTACCTGCGTCTCTGCATTTCCGCCCGCCCTGTCTCATTCTCAAGTTTCCACGCATGCTGTGCTCCATCACCTCTTGGCTTTTCTCACACCCTGCCCCTTTGACCGCATTCACGCTTCGCGGGATTCGCCTGGTCCTCTGCAAAGGATCCACAGCAGCAGGTGAGATGCTGCAGGGTTAGGAGATGGTTCTTGTGGCAAGTTTTTGTGTAGACCCTGCATCCGCAGCTGCTGCTTACAGAGCAGCCTTTAGACCATGCAGCAGCAGTCCAAGTTTCTGATGATGCACCACCATTTGCAACACGCCAGCTACCACTTCAGCTGCAATTGCTGTGGAGTCCACGTCCAGCGCACCAGCGTTTAGTCAGCGCGCAAACTGGTTCATTGCGTTGCTTGTTTTGTGCAACCAGCAAGGGCATGGCGCTTTGCCACCGCCTGTTTCGAGCAGGCTGTCATGAGGCATGCCTGGGAGGTTCCAGAGCAGCAGGCAGCTCTGCAGCAACACACTGGTGCTGTTTGTGTCTGGATCTTGCTTGACCTTCATGTTGTGCCCTTCCTCTGTACCTTCCATTGCTCCTGCCTGGGCTCCCTCCACTGTCCCACAGCAGCATCAGGTGAGTCACGCACGGCTTTCAATGGGTTGTGGCGATCCCGCCAACCATCATCTATCGCAACAAGCAAAGGGACGACGCTTTGTTGGCGCCTGCTCACAGCACGCTTGCAAAACAGTCATGATGCATGCTTGTGTGGTGCCACACTGATCCGGCTCTGCTGCTGCTGCTGCTGCTGCTGCTGCTGCTGCTGCTACTGCTGCTGCTGCTGCTGCTGCTACTGCTGCCGCTGCTGCTGCTGCTACTGCTGCTGCTGCTGCTCCCCACCTCGACCACCTGGCGTATCACCTGCAGGACAACAATCCCAGACAAAGATAAACTTCGTTCATCACCAGGTCGGCAAGGTTGGCGCCAGCAAGACAGAGTACACCACAGTCTTCATGGCGGTGCCTACGTTCCAGGAGCTGGCAGACGCTGTGCCGAACTACTTCCCCCAGTTTGCAAGGGAGGCATATAAGCTCATGGCCGGCAAAGTGCACCTCAATGAGCTGACATGGCCCACGTTCATTCCAGCCCTGAAGCAGAGCATCCTCGACATCGATGTGAGTGTACCAGCTGGCTGCCGCTCACACAGCCAGTTGTGTACCGCAACACGACGCCATGCTTGAGACCGCTGCTTCTCTGATATGATGTTGCTATTGTGGCGGCCATCTGCCGTACGCGTGTGGTCCATTTGATACGTTTTCAGTCTGCCCGATGACCTGCATGCGCCCAAAACTGATGCCCCCCTACCTCGACTGCTTCCAGGTGGTCAGCATGCGGCGGCCCTTCAACAAATTCAAGTATGAGGAGGCTGCGAGCCTCCTGGACTTGCCCAGCACTTTGTCCAGTGGCGTGGTGGTGCTCGACAAGCTGGTTGAGGTGCCGCAGCTCGATGTGGACAAGGAGTTGAGCCAAGACCTCTGTCGCATCACTAAGTGGCGTACTGTGCGGGTGGGTATGGAGTTGCACGCAGTGGGGCTACGAGTTGCTGCTGCTAGCAGCAGCAGCAGCAGCAGCAGCAGCAGCAGCAGCAGCAGCAGCAGCAGCAGCAAACACCCGGGCACCTCGACCAGTGCTATGATGTCTGCGATTGAATAGTAACACCAACCGCTACAACTTTCTTGCTGTTGGCAGGACCTGCTGGATCACGTCTGCAATGACTTGGCGGCGCGGGCTTTCGTGTCTGACCCCACCAAGGGCAGAAAGGACGCCAAATGTCGCGAGCTGATCAGCCCTGTTCTCGTCACAGCTGCGCTGCTTGCAGAGGGGGTGGGGCTGCATGCAGATTACTCCATCTCGGGTCTTCACGCCTTCGGCGCGGCGGACTGGGCAGCAATTTACCGGGATGTGAACGTGGTGGTGGTAGAGGTGAGCAATAATGAGATGCTGCACTTAGGATCACAACTCCTGTTGACCTTGCTTGCCTGACTGCTCGGTTACCACTGACTCGTTCAGGCCTTGGGAGCCATCTCGGCCACGTCAGCATGAGTTGTAGGTGATGAGCTGAATGTGTTGCAGGCCCTAACCAAAAACTAATTGTCGCGTTGTCTTCTGGCCCGCTGCCATCCGCTGGCAAAATCCTTTCGATTGCTGTTTTATCAAAACTGTTGCAGGCAAAACTTTATGACAGGTGGGATGCCCACTTGGGCCAGCTTCTAGCAGAGGTGGTGGCCAGCAGGGAGGAGTACGTGTTGAACGAGCTGGCGCCGGCGATGGACGCGACCCAGCCACTCCCTTCAGGAAAGAAGCGCAAGATGTCGGATGATGATGTGCAGCAGAAAATGTCGCAGGTACGTATGTGGACTGCATGTGCCATCCTCAGTAGCTATGGCTGCTGAAAGACGCAGCAGACACCACTGCCACATGTTGGTTTGATGCCAACTGTCGCTGCCCATGGCATGTTCAGAGCAGCCGTGCCACTGCTTCCTTTGTCCACATACGTGTGCCAAGCGCGCCCCCAGCAACGATGGCTGTGCTGGTGCGACACCTCAACGTATGCTCTGCAGCTGCCGTCATGGGGGATTCTGACCACGGGGCTGTCGTTCAAGTTCTACCGCTACACCGCCTACCAAACAGAGGGCTGCAGCGCGACAAGGGTCTTGCAAGCTTCCAAAGACGTGAACTTGAGCCTCGCCAGGGGGGTCACCGCCAAACAGGTAGAGGAGGAAATCGTGCCCCTGCTGGCCTTCATCAAGCACATACTGGAGGAGCAGAAGGAAATCGTGGACCGCCTGCCCAAGAGGCACTGCAAGTCGCAAGCCTGACTGGAGCCAGCAAGAAAACATGTGTGGGCTGTGGGTGACACGGCGGCTAGGAAGCAGATCAGCCGCACGGTCGTGGCCAGGAGTGCTGGTGGGTATGATGACAGATGCCCTTGGAGCAGCTGTTCTTTCTGGCTGGGGCCAGCTGGCTCCTGGGGCGGAGCTGTAATTTGTCTGGTCTCGAGAAAGCCTGGAGTCGGGGGTGCTGCTTTGCCGGCTGGCCACACTGCTCAGCGCCCAGCTTGTCGCGCCGAGTCAGCGCCCCTGGGCAATGGGCGCCCGGTCTGGTCACAGCTGTCACGGCGTAGCTGGTGCATTCGCGCCCCATAAGAGAGAGGGCCGCTGGGGCCGAGCCTGCGCTGCTGTCGCTCTGCCCAAGCGCGCTGCCTCTATCCGAAGCTGCCAGAGCTGCTGTGTACATCCATATCTGAGCATGTGCAAGGGGCCTTCTGCGACTGTCACCACGCCGGGCATGCGGCATCAGGACTGCCATCGCCAGGATAGGCGACCTTGGGATGTGGGAGCTTACAGCGGCCTGGGCCCAGCCACATAGCCAATGAGGGAACCGGCAGCAACGCTGCCCAAACCAGCACAGAAGCAATTACCAGGCAATGCACCCGCCCAGCTGCCAGGTGGGTAGCTGGGGCGGAGCACCTTATTCCGGGGCCCTCAACGCGCAGGACACCTGTCGCACCCAGCCAGTCACAGCTGTCACGGCGTAGCTGGTGCATGCGCACCATATCCCCCCACAGCACTGACACACGGGCGCACGGGCAGGCGGCCCATAAGTTTGTGCTGAAGGTATGCTCAAACGGGAGGAAACCACCAGGCAACCACAATGCACTGAACACAGCGCTTGCAATGGTGCGCGGTGAAAAGGGCATGGGTGCTTAGCGCCGATCGATCTGCCAGGACCTTGGGCGTGATCAATGGTGCCTCTTGCACGGTATGTGACGCATGCTTGGACCCTCCGTGGCAGGGCGGGCCCACTGTCACAATAACCAAGGCGCTCTACCCGCCCGCATCAAACCGCCGTGGAGGCCTCCGCTGCCACCACCGCCGCTGCCACCGCACTTGCTCTGCACAGAACGCAGCTGCGTCGCCACGCCGCTACGGCAGCACACCTGCTAACACCTGCTCTCTCGCCGGCCCCTGCGACTCCTCAAGGCTGAGTAGCGCATGCCAAATGACTGAGTTCTCGCTAGCTGCAACGGTTCCGCAAGCGCCTGGATGATTTGCCACTACATGTGTCAGCCGATGTTGCATGGTGTGTGATGGCACCATAGCAAGGTTGGATGCCGTGGATGAATGGGCGTGGTGCGCAAGGATGGTGAGAGTGTGTCGTTAGTGAGTTGCGGTTGCTGCCATGGCAGCTGCTGTCTTGGGTAGGTTACTCTTCCCCCAGTGTCAGTGGCGCTTTGAGCATGCGTTTGGATCACCGCTCGGACGGCCTGCCCACGTATGGTGCGCCCACTTGTTGTGCTGGTACTTTGCTTAGCCCACATGCGCAGAGGCAGGCATGCAGTCACTGCAGTCGCAAAAGCAAACGGGTGCCTTGTACCAGAAGCAGATGCCAATTGCAACGCGTTTGTGTTGTATTGTAAACAAAGCGCTACGCATCACATTCAGCGATGGTTCGACGAAGACACCCCAGGCCTACGGTGCCAATGACACTGCTGTGGCTTGCGGTGGTAGTGGCATGCGCAAGCAATGCGGCTGGGGCTCGTGGAAAGTCTAAGAGCTGGCGGCTGCTCTGCGCGCGTGAGCACTTATCTGGGAACTTTGAGATCGCTCAAGGGCCCAGGCTCTCTGGGCTGCGTTGTTGCTGCTAAAAAAACACAGACGTGCGGATTACGGGTCCGTCCTGCGTCTGGTTCCCGTGGACACACTCGACCAAAGTGCAGACAGCGCAGCACCACGTGCGGGTGACGCCTTTAGTCAACCACCAGGTTGCCAAGCCAGGCTGCCTCTACCAGCAGCGGACCTGAAGATTTGGCAGAGTTTGGCGCGCGCCTGTCTCGAGCCCAAATGCACCCCTGCTCCCCCGCAACAGCGGCCTTGGTGCGTAGCAATTGTAGACCAAAGACCATCCCTCTCGGCCCCGCCGCAGCGCCTACCCTGGGAGACCCCGTGATTGCCTACACGCCCCTCTACGGCCACCCAAACATCTCGGACTCGGCATGGTGCGCGGCTGAAGGGCCACCTCCTCAGGAGCATAAGGGAGGCGTTCAGAACAATGCAGCAGCCCGCCCGCCGCGCCCGCCCACCCACGCAGCCCACCCCCCAAACGCCCGCGGCACCGGGGGGTGCCGCCGCCCACATGGCAGCGCACGCCGGCACACGCACGCCTGGTGCTCAAAAAGGCTCCGGCGCAACTCTCCATTGTATGGTCCCACGAATGCCGATTTGCTCTTCAGCCGCCACACCTGGTCAAAACCCCCCCTTGCATCGCTCCTGTTGCCCCCCCAAACGCTAACCCCCCGCCCCCACACACACACCTCGCCACCACCCAGGCACGACGACACCTGGGCTTTTGAGGCCTACGGTCCCATCACATCCATGACGCTCTACTACTCTGTCGGCTGGGTCGACCCCTACATTGGATTCGTGAGTGGACGCAGGCCTGCGCCCCGCCGCCCTCCCAGCGCCGCCTGCGCCGTGCCAGGGCCGGAAGTGCCAGGGGCGGGGATGCCATGGCCGGGAGCACGTGCGGCTGCACGGCGGGCTGTTGGTCAGATCAAAAGGAAGTCCAAGGGACGGGCAGGCCTTTGCAGATAGGCCAGGCGTGCTGGCCAATATTTGCACCCAACGCAGGACGCCCAAGAGCCCTGACAAGCGCGCTCGCGCTCGTGCGCGCCACGCACGCGCCCACGCCACGCCTGCAGCACCCCGGGGGCGAGTTCAAAGGCATCCAGCCCGTGTATGGCGCCAACGGCACCAACGACAACGACCTACTTTTTGGCGCCAAAAAGCCCCACAAGCCCTTCAACTTCTCGCTGGGGCCGGGGGAGGTGGGCGCGGCTGTGGTGGCGCGCGTTTTGTGATGGGGTGCCCGCTGATGGGCGGCGCCATGCGGCGGGCTGCTCTCTGTCGTCGGGAGCTTGGTGTGTGTGTTTTCCGGGACGCCCTGTGCCATGGGACGCTTCGCTCATGTGCGCGTGCTGTGTGATGCGGGGATGGCCGCACGCGCTGCGGGACGCAGGCATTCTACTACCGCCGGCCGCGCTCGCCGCTTGTCAAGGGCAGGTGGCTCGCTCCCGGCCGCCGAGACGTGTGAGGCTCAAAACATGCGATGCGCTCGACTCGACGGCGTGCCCACTCCTGCCTGGTGCCACTTTTGCGTCGCACACAACCCCGCGCACACACAACCCTGCACACAACCCCGCACACACACAACCCCGTGCACAACCCCGCAGCGCATCGTCAGCGTCGAGCTGCAGCATGACAGCATCATGCGCTGGATGGCCTTTGACACCAGCGCCGGCCGCCGCTACGCCTGGGGCTATAAGGACGTCGACGCCAACGTCACCCGGGTGACGAGCCCCGCGCCGCGGGACGGCGCCTACCTAGCGGCGTTCCGGGGGTTTGAGGGGAGGCAGCTGCCGCCCGAGCTGGGCGGTTACAAGAAGCGGTACATAATCCAGGTCGGGTTTGTCTGGGCCATGCCGACGTGCACAGCGTACGAGTGGAACCCGATCAAGGCGGCGCGCGAGGCGGCGGCGGCTGCTGCAGCAGCGGCGGCGGCAAACCCCGCGCGGCCCCCGTCGCCGCCGCCGCCGCCGCTCACGGCGCCGCCGGCGCCGCCGTTCCCGCCCATCGTGGCGCTCAGCATATCGCCGCCGCCGCTGCTGCCGGCGGCGCCGCCGCCGCCGCCGCTGGCAGCGGCCGATGCGGCGCGCGCCAGGCTTGCCCCAGCGGGCGTGACGCTGCCATCCGACAAGCCCACCGCAGAGTTAGGACCTGCGCCGCGCGGGTTCCTGCCTGTTGTGGTGCGTGGCAACGGCACGACGTCCGCTTTGAGTGCTGGCGGCAGGCCGAACTCGACAGCCTTCCTGCCCGTGCCGCGCGGGCCCCGGGCGGCCGCGGCAGCCGCCCCCGCTGCGGCGATGGGGCGGGTCGTGCGGGCAGTGGCGCGGCTCTCCGGCCGGCCGCAGCAAGCGCCACCGCCAGGCCTGGGTGCCAGCAACACGTCTGCGGCTCAGTTGCCGCCCTGATGCGGCTCGCCCCTTAACCCTATTGGATCTGGAGCGGCCGCGCCAAGGCGCTGCTCTGCTGCATCGCCTGCACGCTAAGTGATCGGTAAGCCACTTAGGTCCCGCAAACGTGCCCCCGCCGCCCAACCTTAGCGATTCGCTGCAGTCGTGCGCCGAGCAGGCGCCGGCTTTCCTGGATCGCAGCCACATCCAGCTGCATTCTTGTCCGATGACTTTTTTTTGCGCTGCGTGTATTGAGATCATTGATCATTGATCAGGGAAGCGCTTTTGCTCCCAGGCATCTAGCTAGGCGTTTTGTTTCGCCAGCTGGCAAGGGCGCGGCGGCCAGGGGCCCTGGCTCCCATCAAGACACAACGACCGATCCAGCTGCATTGCGCCCGGCAGCGTGAGCCACCCTCCCGGCACTGGCCATGGCGGCCTGGCTGTGCTTTACAGCTGACAGTAGCTGGCCGCTTTCGTGCTGTGCCTGCGCCCCGCCCATTTTGCCACCCCGCACGCTCGCACGGCGTCAAGCCCCATACTTCGCAGCGAGCGACGGCCTGTGCATCCTGCGCCCCCCTCCCCCTGGCGCGAACGCACCACATGCGCTCAGCTCTGGCAACTGTTTGAGGCCGCCTTGAGGGGTGCGGCGCCCCTCCAACCAGAGATCCGTCTTGATTGGAGGGTTTGCGTCCCCAGCAGACCCCCGCTTCTTCCTGCATAACTAATTAGCGTGGATAGCAAGATGGACGCCGCCGCCGGCATCCACAAGGTCATGACCTCAGTGCAGCCAATAACCCCATTTCACAGGTAGGCTTAGGCTTGTGACATGACCGCTGCTTTCGGCATCCAGCGCGCCGACGAGGCGGCTGCCGCTGCTTTGCTTGCCGTTGCGCTTCATTGACTGGTTGGCCGGGGCTTTTCCTGTGATATTACCCTTCCTCAAACTTGCCCTGCCTGAGCGGGGAGTAACCTGACAGCAAGAGGATGGTCAGATGACGCAGAGCCGCGCTTCACGCGCATGCACAAATGTGGCGGCATGTACATAACGTGATACCGAGGGTAGGGGGTGCAGTGATTGATACCGATTGCAGCGACACGGCCAGGGCCCAAAAGTTGCAGGGCACAGTGTATACATGCATATTTTGTGCGGACGTCATGGAGTGTCACGCCAGCAGCCATCCTGCGTCAAAGTTTTGCTACGAAAACGTCCCTCGGCAAAATACTGTACACGTCAATACGAGGTTGTTCAAGGACGCCCCGGGCCCATCCGACGGCTCCTTGACCGCCGCCGCCACATCTGCCGCCGGGAGCTGCACCCACGGACCGAGCCAGCACCTCGCCGCGCCGTCAGACGCCGAGCCTTGCCGCCAGGGCTTTCAAGGGGGTGGCGTCAAAGGTCCAGCCCTCCGCCTCAAGCTGCAGCCTGTGTTGGTTGGGAAGGGGCCGGGGCCGCAGGGACGGGGTTGACTAACGGAGCGCAAAAGTTGGCCAAGGACGCGTCAACACCCCGCAAAACGTCATCTGCTTCATTGGAAGACGATGCAAAACAATGCTCTGCACGTCCTCCTCCGCAGCATCGGAGCAGCAACATAAATAAATTCCGCTACATCGACCCAAACCGGCATTTCTGGATCAGATACGGCTACCCAAATCACTTTGACCTTTGCAGACCTGTGGGCTGTGGGCTCAGCGTGGGCCAAAACGCTGAGTGGCTTGCCGCCCAGGCTCTCTCCGCACCACTCCTACCCACGTATCACACGACCCCTCACCTCCTCCTGTGCGCGTGCCGCAGGTGCCCCTCCAGGTCCTCGCGCCCCCACCCGTTGATCCCCGCCAGCAGCTTCAGCGCGGATTCCCGCTGGCCCCGGCTCGTCAGCAAGTCCAGCCGCGCCGCGCGCGCGACGGGGCCCGCCCAGGCCCCCAGCTCCACCGCCGAGACGACCCTGACCTCTGGATTGTACCGCAGGATCGGTACCGCCTCGATCAGCACCCATTCGGATTCGAAAGCGCCTGTGGCCTCGCAAACCTTTTTGGCGCGGGCGACGGCGGCGGAGGAGAGCCGCTGCCAGAGGTCTACGCCTAGCACCTGGGGTAAAGGACGAGTGTGGAGGCGCAGCGGGGAAGTGATGGGTGGGTGCCCGGGAGAAGGGGCAGGGGTGAGAAGGGAGGAGGAAGGGGGAGGCGAGGGTCGGTCCGCTGGGGTGGGGCAGGAGGGGCAGTGAGGGAGCGGTGGCACGGGGAGGGTCGGCGTCCGAGGCCGTGACGGGGCTGCGAAGGGCTGTGTGGGCGCGGGGGAGGCGCTGGCTGGCGGCTTCCTCCGTCGTAATGAGCGGGGCACACGTTTCACCACGAGCAGCCGGACCCTGCCCCTTGCCTCGACCAAGTTGAGGCATTCAATCAGCAGAAACCCGCTGGCACGCCCTGGCACGGCCCGCCTTTGAGCTGCATACGTAAGCACACCCAAGCACAAGCGGGCGCATGTGCAAGAGGCAGTGCGGCAGGTGGGTGGTTGGGTGGGTGGATGGGTGGCAGGGGGCAAAGAGAAGGAGTGGATGCGCGGGGAGGTGGGTGGG